ATTAAAATGTGCGCGGCGAATTAAATACGAGGACGATTAGAAAAAACTAAAAAATCTAAATTGAGAAAATATTTGTTTTTTTGAAGAAAAATTAATTATATACAAAATTAACCCTAATTTCTAATTGATTTTAATTACAAAAATAAGATTTAATTTCCCTATTTTAATTTAATTAATTAATTCAAGGAAATAAAAATATATAATGAAAAAAAAGATTTTTGGTGTTTTTTTGTGAATTTTGATTTAATAAATAAAAACAATGATTTATGTGTTAATTAAAAAGAAAATAATTAAGAAAATAATTAAAAAGAATTAAAATAAAAGGGAGAAGAATGGGCATGTATAGCAATCCAAAAGGGGGGGGGGGGGGTGTTGCTGAATTGGCTGGGCCCATTGGCTGTTCAGCCTACTCCCAGCGCTTGATCCTGTATGGCCATTTTCTGGTGGTGTACCATGGTCCCTCCTTGTTTGGAGTGCTAGATCTGATAGGAGATGCATCCATTGAATGGATGTTGATGGCACATGGTGAGTGTTTGAGAGGATGATGCATAAGATCTGTAAAGGAGAAATAAAACAAAGAAAATTGTTGGGACCTGGGATCGAACCCAGGTTCTCACGTTCAACACCAACGTGCTTTGCCATCTGGGCTGTGTGACTCAATTGTTAATATAACAACAATAATGAATAATATATAAAACATGGTGATTAGCTGGAAAACACGCGCGAAATTCAAATGGTCCAATGAGGTGGTGACAAGTCACCGTCTCCTTCATTAAGACTGTCGTCTTATGGGTAAGGCTTATACCCATAGACACTTTGCCATAGCTGAAAACCTGTAAACTTCAACAATCAAGAAAATGCATGATAAATAAATTCTAATTACACGGTTCCATTTGTCTTGAACCCACGAACATCATGGTGCCCTTTTTATTGGCCAATTTAACCTGCATCTGAAAGCCCTAAAGCGAACACAAAAACCCTAGCAATGGCAAATGCATATATAAGTCCCAAAAATTCAATTAAACGATCCAGACATGTTAGAAATATATCAATGATCACAAATATGTCATTAAATTATGCTAATGATGCAAGAATGGTTGTAATCAATTTTGAAAAAGCAAGCAAACCGTATGAGGTGTAGCGAGTGTTTCTGGGCGTGAAAGGACTTGCACTTGATCCAGTTAGCTTCAGAGATACTCCAGAATGCGATTGGGAGTGTTGAAATGCTTTGAATCGTCCTCTAGGGTATAGATCATATCACCTTTTTTTTTTGCCAATTTTTGAGTTTTTGTTCTGTATTTTGCACGACTGCCAGCCCTTGTTTTACACTTGGTATTGTTCATTATATATCCCTAAGTGAATTAGGGTTATAAAAACAGCTGGTATCTTTGAAGTTTTTGAAGAATGGATATGATTTTTTCTTTGTATGATTTGTTTCCAAATTAGGCCTAATCATGCCATTCTTGTGCCAATCCACCTTGATTCGATTTGATTCTGATATGTCAACATAATTAGCTTATGATCCTGTCCAAAAATCAGATCAAAACAAATCTTTACTATTATTTATCATTTATTTGATTTAATTCAATTTTTAATTAATAAAAAATCAAAATAAAATGGAAAATGAAGCAAATAATGTGTGGGTAAATATTTGGGTCGTGGACCATGTTATGAGTGAGGTGCAAGCATAAAAAGTTAGGTCCATTTGGCAAAAAATGCATTTTTGAGCACATTTGAGAAGCTTTGACCCAAAAAGTGTTTTTGTTGACTTTTCAAAAGGACCTATAATGTGAAAATTCATATCTTTTGATGAGTGCATATTTTGAACTTGAGGGCTGAAGATGAATTATAGGTAATTTCATCCTCTTCAAAATGAGCATTGGATGGAAAATTTCTGATAAAGTATGAGGAAGTTATGCTTGGTCAAAGTTTGGTTGACTTTTCCTAAGAAACCCTAATTTAGCAACTTTTGGGTTTTGATGAATTTGGGGCATTCCTTGAGGAATCATGATCAACCCTTGATCAAATGATGGATATAACTTCAAAATGTTGATGTTGACCAAAAATCTTGAAGTTTGACTGTATGTGGGCCACAATTGACTTTTGACCTAATACAGACGATTCTCAAGCATCTGAGCAGTTGACTGAGCAAACTTCTTGTGCAAGGATTGACATTTGACATGATGGGTCTTGAGAACATATTAGGACCATGGAGAGCATATGAGGTCTTTGGAGTTCACCCATCTTGATGAAAATAGAAACCCTAGTTTGAGGTACATTGCCTTAGAAGAGAGTTTGTCTGGTCAACTCTTGGACATCCTTGAGCAAGTTGAGGACCTCAATGGGTATGTGTTGAGTAAAATGAGAGGGAAAATTTTGGGGTACAACGGTAACCAATATAATATTTTGGGTAAATAATATAACAATTTTAAAAATAAATAAATAATTATACCCCTTGGTTATTTAATAAACCAAGATAAAAGAAATGCTAGTTTTGAAAATAATATTATTTGCTGCTGCTGGGGTTCAAACTCATGCGCTAATAAACTTGTACCTCAGTATTTTAAAGACTGAGGTGATAAGTATTTACTTATTATGACGACCTTATTTACATCGCATCTACCTCCGAGGTAAAATATATTTCGCGTCTGATGTTAGAAGCGTTATTTGTAGTAGTGCATGTGGATAATGAATATATTGATTGAGTTGGGCAATAGTGAGGATGAGGTTGTTACACTCTTGGTTGACAATGTTTTTGCTATTAATCTTGTTAAGAACTCAATTGTTTATGAGAGGAGAAAGCATATAGAGATGAGGTTTCACTACTTGAGGAAGCTTGTTAGTGAAGGAAAGTTAAGATTGAGATATTGTTGATGTGAAGACCAAGTTGTCAATTTGTTGACTAAGAGAGTCACAAATGATGTGTTCAAATGATTGAAGATGGACATGGGCATAGAAGAGTTGGAGCAGTTGAATTAAGGTGGTGCGTCAAGAGAAAACCAAGTAATTCAAGTGTTCTAACCAGTTAAAACGAGAGTGTAATCGATTACACATTTGGAGTTGACATAACTAGTTACGCATTCATATTAACCAGTTACACGTGTTTCTATTTTGATAATTTGTGTTAGCTGTAACCGGTTACATCTTTGTGTTAACTAATTACAACCCCGAGTTTTTGCTTTTTCTTGTTTTTGAATTGTGTGTTTTGTGTCTTAATCACTTTGTAATGTTTGTATAAATGCCTTAGAGGCATCCTCATCAATGGTAATGCAAAATAATATTCTCATCCTCAATTATCTCTCTCTAATTTTCTTCTCTCTCACTATCTCTTTCTCCACATATTACATTATTTACCAATTGTATAATTATATGTTCCAACAAATTATATTTGTCATTGCAATCGACTAATTTAAAAAATTAAATTTTATCATTCAGTAGCGCAAAATTTATCTATAGACTGATCAAATAGTTGGATTGTTATCACGCCTGAGAATTCAAATCTAAAATTTTAAGAAGAATACTTTCATGTCTCAAGGCTACACTTTCAGCATGACGCCTTTTCTAAGGGTATGTTTGAATAATTTAAAACTAACAGAATAGAGCGAAACAAAATGTTATAGAAAGAAGCGGAATAGAAAGGAACGAAACGTAAACTTTATTTTATTGTTTGGATATTTTACGATGGAACGGAACTAATATAAATATAGACAGAGCATAAAACATTATAATTTTTTATTTCATTTTTATCCTTCATTTCAAAAACATAAATATAAATATAGATAATGAAAGTTAAAATTTGAAAAACAAATTTATAATTATATTATTAATTCATTCTATCTATTAGATACACCCCATTTTAAATAGAATGAGAAATTGAATAAAATAATAGTATCTCATGAATTATGTTTCATCATATTTCATTCAATTCTATTAATTTTTTTATTATAGAAATAAAGATTTGAGATGATAATTCAATTAATGTAAATTTTAGTTTAACGAAATAAGCAATGTCCTAATAAGATCATTATTCTCTTTTCTTTTTGTTTTTCATATGTTATATCCATAAAAAAAATATATTAAATATCTTAATCAAAATAAGATATAAAAAATACTGAATAAAAAGCTAACATATTTAATTAAAAATTAAAACCAGATACAACACTTTTTTAGAGACAATTGAAAAACAGCAAAATCGAAAGGAAATAACCAGAAGACTAACTATCGCCGGAAAAATCCAAAGAAAGGTCAAAGAAACTAAATCAGATATTTCAAAGGTGAAAAGATAGTGTAGAGAGAGATATCTCAAGACACAACCAAGTAGCTAAGCTACATGATATCAAAGAAAAAATTGAATTTTAAAAAGAAAAGAGGTGGTGAGCAGTGTTGGTTACTCATAAGACAAAAGATAGCGTGTTGTCAAAAAAATTTTTTGACTGAAACTCGTTTTGTAGCATTTAATACGAGCTATCCGACAAACAAACCAAACAAAACTATAATAAATTTTGGAAATAATTAGTCATCCGTTCCAATTTATAAAAAATAAGAAAGATAAATATTTATTTTATTAAGTGATTATAAGTTTATTTTTTAAGAAATAATTTGTAATTGAAGTGTGTAAAAAAATAGTGAGACACCACAAGTTACCGAGAGTCGAGAGAAAGAAAAGGAAACTTGAAAATGAAAAGTAAGTAAAGCAAAGGGGGGAGGGACCAAAACCTGAAAAGGCTAGCAAACCTCCCACGACGAGTCATAAATACTCTCAAGGACATAACCAATGTGAACTCAAAACTTCAACCATAAATTCTTAATTCAATTCTTGACTTTACATCTCCCAATTACATCTTCGCCAGCCCATCCACCTACTCTATTCTTTCTCTCCCCTTTTCCCAGATTCTCTCTTTAATATATTCCTTTTTTTATTTCACCGTCCAACCCTTCTTTCATAACATAACTCTCTCCCTCTCTCTAACCCCAACCGACACAACTACAAACCTAAAGTTATGCTAAAACCAAAATATCAATTTCTGTTCCTATTCTTCTTTTCAATATTGTCTTGTTTATCATTCTCCACTGCTATCATAACCCATAAGTTCAAAGAAGCACCGGAGTTCTACAATTCCCCAGAATGCCCCTCCCACGCTTCAAATTCAAATCCAACCGTTCAAGTCGCAATGACACTAGACACAACATACATCCGAGGTTCCATGGCAGCAATCCTATCAATCCTCCAACACTCTTCATGTCCACAAAACATCTTGTTCCACTTTGTCTGTTCCTCTAACGCCTCCAACCTAAACGCCACAATCTCAACCTCTTTCCCATATCTGAAATTCCATCTCTACACCTTCGACGCCACCACTGTCTCTGGCCTCATCTCAACTTCAATCCGTTCAGCTCTTGACTGCCCTCTCAACTACGCTCGCACCTACTTACCAAATCTCCTACCACTTTCCGTTACCCGAGTCGTCTATCTTGACTCCGATCTCATTCTCGTCGACGACATTGCCAAACTGGCACAAACACCATTAGGAGAAGACTCTGTTTTAGCAGCACCGGAATACTGCAACGCCAATTTCACATCCTACTTCACTCCCTCGTTCTGGTCTAACCCTTCTCTGTCGCTAACATTTGCCAACAGAAAGCCTTGTTATTTCAACACGGGTGTGATGGTGATTGATTTGGAAAAGTGGAGAGAAGGGGATTATACTGCAAAGGTTGAGGATTGGATGGAGTTGCAGAAGAGAATGAGGATCTATGAACTGGGTTCTCTGCCTCCTTTTTTGCTTGTTTTTGCTGGGAAGATTGCTTCCGTGGATCATAGATGGAATCAACACGGACTTGGGGGTGATAATTTTCGGGGTCTTTGTAGAAATCTTCATCCTGGTCCAGTCAGTTTGTTGCATTGGAGTGGGAAAGGTAAACCTTGGGTTAGATTAGATGCTAATAGACCTTGTCCTTTGGATGCACTATGGGCACCTTATGATCTATTACAAACTCCATTTTCTCTTGATTCTTGATAACTCATACACATACTATATTCATATACATATACATGTAGTTATATACAATTTGAACCCAGTGCCAAAGGTTGATCTTCTTTTTGGGTAAATACTAAATACTATTATTGAGGATGAAGCAAAGATTAGGCTGAAAACATGGAATGGGACAAGTTGGTGAGATTTGTGATTTTTGCAATCACAGTAAATTGATGATTCTTGCTGTGGATAATTGTTCTGTTATTTGTTTCAAATAACTGTGCATATCAAAATATCTCTGTAATTTGGATGCTAGAATTCGTGATTTATGAACCACTTTTTATTTTTTATTACTCATAATAATGACAACTCGGTAAAGAGATTGTTTAAGTTCTTCCTTCATCTTCTCTTCTTTATACCTCTCTCTGTGCTTTTTTCTGTAGATGTAATTTTAGGTTATTTTGAATTCCTTCTTATAATGAATTAAACAGATTCAATTTAATACTCTGTCGTCTTGACAGTTTTACATCTATGAAAAAAATATTTTTAATTTTATATAAAAATTCATTTCTACTCTTTCTTAAATACAATTGCTCTCTCCGTGACTTTTTTTTAATTATTTGTTTCAAATTATTTATTCATATTAATGTGATACTATTTATTATTTATTGTATTTTAAGTTATGTAACTACTTTATTATTTATTATTATTTGGAGAAAAGAATTCAAGAAAGATGAATATCTTGAAAAAACAAGAAAAAGAAGAAGAAGAAGAGAGAGAGTTGAGTTAGTTAAGTGTAACTAACTCTGAATTGAATTCAGTTATTATTGTTTGTTACTATTACAAACACAATGACCTTTTATATAGGCAAAATAGCTCAGGCCTAAATACATGCTAAAAAGCCCAAATAACTACATAACTCTTTAATTCATGTTATCAAGACTTCTAATCCCAATGTCTTTCTTTAACTCTTTGAACCTCACTTTCTTCAGAGGTTTAGTGAATATGTCAGCTAGTTGCACTTTTGTCTTGCAATGTTTTATTTCAAGCTTCCCTTTGTTGACTTAATCCCTCAGAAAATGATATATTCTTTCAATGTGTTTACTTCGACCTTGACACACTGGGTGATTCGCAAGGTTTATAGTTGACTTGTTATCAACAAACTGTTTTATCTTCGACTCCATTATTCTGAGTTCCTCAAGTAGCATTTCGATCCATGCTGCTTGGCATGCAGCATATGATGCAGCCACATATTCTGCTTCGCATGATGACAAAGCTACAATGTTTTGCTTCCTCGAACTCCAGGAGATTAGAGCTCCTTCGATCATGAAAATATATCCTGCAATACTCTTCTTTTCATCTTGATCTCCACTGAAATCTGAGTCAGTGTATCCTTGCACTTCGACATCTGTACTATTCTTCGACTTCTTTGGTAACAACACACCATGACCAATGGTTCCCTTGATGTATCTCAACACCCTCTTTACTGCAATGAGATGACATTCCTGAGGCTTCTCCATAAATCTGCTCAATAATCCTACACTTTGGCAGATATCTGGTCTAGTATTGCAAAGATACCTCAAGGATTCAATGATTTGTTTGTAAAGGGTCGAACTTACAAACTCATCATTCGATTCCTTCTTCAACTTTGCTCTAGTCTCTAATGGAGTAACAGCTGCCTTACAGTTGCTCATATTGAACCTCTTCAGTATATCTTTAGCATACTTAGTTTGATGTAAGAAAACTCTTTCTTCGACGTCTCTAGCATAGTGGTCAAAACCTTGACAATTGTAACATTGCACATCTTTCGTGTCAACTTTGTTAGACGGTGTGGCAAGTGATCGAGAGGGGGGGTGAATAGATCACCTCTTAGGATTTAAAATTATTTTATCAAAGCGTGTTGAAAGCAGCGGAAAATTAATGTCCTGATTCAATTCCGTCTACTTTGAACCGACTACTAAAAAACCTGACATGTGAAAAAGTGAAAAACTTGTTGGATTTTATTAGATGAAATTGATGAATATACAACTCAGATTTCTTAACGTTTCAATGCACTTATCATTAAAGCAGTATTTCCAATGAATTAAAAAATTTGTTAGGAATTTTGTCAAACACTTGGTATATGCTTGTTTAATGATTTAATAGTGGTGGTTTGATGAAAGTATCTGAACCACTATTTTTATCATTAGACGGAAAAAACTTAGCAAACCAATTGAATTACAAAATTATGGAATATGTAAAAAGATAAAGAGAAAGAAAGAAAGAAAGAACGATACGCAGACAGTTTGGTAAGGAAGTTCCCCACTGTCGTCCTCGCGTGTGGGTACGTCTCCCTCTCAATTTCACAATTGAAACTGAGAACTTTTATAACAATTTGCTGTATGTATGATAACAAGGTTACACTACACAGACAGATAGAAATCCCTATTATCTTCTTCTTGTAAGAACCACCACTTGATATGAGCTGTATCAAGATTTCCTGCAAGATCCACAATCGATCCTCCACTTCCATGACCTGTTTGCAAAAATCCTTCTGATTTCCAAATCCCTCGCTACGGCTGAATCTGACTTGTGCGACCGTGACTAACAAACCCTCAAGAACACACCCGTTCTTGAAGGACAAACTCCTTGGTTTATTTCTCGAAGCCTCCTTTACAATCTTCAACTCAGCTGAGATTCTTTCAATACACAACTGAACATTATCTCTGACCTCTTGATCCACTTCAACAAGGATGTTTGATTTTCGTTGTTGTTGTTAAATGAAGATGATTGAGAAGATGATGAAGATGAAGTTTCTTTAGGCTTCTGGCTGCTCACAAATGTTTGCACACAATTCTGATATGTTGCAATTTATTTCTGTTGAGAAAGATACTTGCTTATATATGTAACAGAAAATGGTTAGGCAAAAGAAAGTATTATGAGTCGATGCATGTTGGTCATGAGTCGACTCATGTTAGTTATGAGTTACAGGATGGGTCGACACATGTTGTTTTGAGTCGATGCAAGATCATATCGTAACATTTTACAGAACCAACAATTTTATATTCGTCGTTGCATAACACATATGTGTCGATGCATACTGATTGTAATTTTAATTTTTGAACATAAAACGTGGTATGAGTCGATGCATGATATTATGTATCGATGCATATAAATTCAAAAAAAAATTCCATGAGCATCAGAATGTCATGTGTCGATGCATGAGGTTTTGTGTCGATGCATACAAGTTTAAGTTTGCATTACAGGGGCATCAAAGTGTTATGTGTCGATGCATAAGATTTTGTATCGATGCATAATAGTTTGAGATAGTATTCCAGGGACTTCAGTATGTTATGGATCGATGCAAAACCTGTTGTGTCGACTCATAATGATGCATTATGAGTAAAACACATTTTTAACTTATTTTAAACATGTTATATTATACTTTTGTAATGCACACATGTATTTATTATTTCACATATATTTGCAATCATTCAAAACCAATTATGAAGGGGTTGCTCACAAACTTTCTTCCCAGAATACTTGTTGCTCACACCTTTCAAATCAGCATTCTTGCTTGACTTCTCATCACCAGCAAGATTCTTTTGCTGCTTTGACTTCTCTTTTCCAGCTTTCTTGCTGAATCTTGATTGCAATGCTTGTTCAGTTGTCTTCTCTCTTTTTGAGTTTCTTTGTTGCAGCCTCATTTCGTGAGCCTCCAATGAAGCTTGAAGTTCTTCCAACTTCGTCTTAGATAGATTCTTGGCCTCTTTAATTGTTATAACAAAGTAATCAAAGTCTACAATTAAAGATCTCAATACCTTTTCTATCTTTTGCAGATCCGTTAGCGCTTCACCACACACCTTCATCTGGTTTGTTAGCACCACAACTCTTGAGAAATATGCAGAAATAGATTCATCCTCTTTCATCTGAAGCATCTCATACTGCTTCTTTAAAGTCTGCAACTTCACCTTCTTCAATTTCTCATCTCCACCATACAAGGATTTCAGTTTTTCCCAAGATCCTTTTGATGTTTCGTCTTCAATTATCTTCTCAAATACATCACAATCCATACACCGGTGAATCAAGAACAGCGCATTGCCATCTTTCTTTCTCTGATCTTTGTGCGCAGTTTTCTGGGCTTCCGTAGCATCTTTATCCAGTTGTGATATTCCATCATTCAAGATTTTTACAACATCTTGAAATCTGAAAATAACCTTCATTTGTGCCACCCACCGTTGATAGTTTTCACCTTTGAAAATCGGTAGATTTGCTGGAAATTGTGTTGTTGATGTTGTTGATCCGTTTGCCATTAGATTCTCTCTGAATCGCAAACAAGCTCTGGTACCAATTTGTTGGAGCAAAGGATTCAAGAAAGATGAATATTGTGAAAAAGAAGAAGAAGAAGAAGAAGAAGAAGAAGAAGAAGAAGAGAGTTGAGTTAGTTAAGTGTAACTAACTCTGAACTGAATTCAGTTATTATTGTTTCTTACTATTACAAACATAATGGCCCTTTATATAGGCAAAATAGCTCAGACTCAAATACATGCTAAAAAGCCCAAATAACTATATAACAAGAATTAATCAATTACCATGACATTCGTTTTATCATTGAAATCAATACAATTAATCATTATTTAAAAAATATGAAAATTTTAAATATAATATCTATTGTGAGACGAAGAGAGTATAAGCAAATTTTGATTCAGTAATTTGTAATAAATAGTTATTTTCAAAATTTTATTTATAGAAGTAGAATAGATGAGTCGAAAACTTTGATTTGGCCCGTTAAAAAATGGACTAGGGCATGACGGACTCTGTCACCCATAAAATTTAGGGGTTATTCATTGCATTATAATATTTCTCTCAAGCTCAATAAAAATGTGAAAATGCCCTTCTTATATTGTTTGGATTTTTGAAATTTAAATGCAAATAATTCAATATCGGTGGAGAATATGGGTGTCAAATGATATAAAAGGGGGACCGAATAGGCCAATCTTCGAAAATTGCTTTCAAAAAGTTTATCAGAATTTTGTAAAAACAAGAAAGCGTGGCAACAAAAT